GCAGAGCGGATGCGCAGGATGGCTACGAAGATGAACACGTAGGAGACCAGGATGATGCCCAGAGAGCAGGTGAGGTTGGACCCGGCCACCACAAACATGGCCATTTCTTTGATGTACGTGTCTGAGCAGGCAAGGACCAAGAGCGGGGGGTCAGCACAGTAGAAGTGATTGATCTCATTGGGTCCACAGAAGGTCAGGCGAAGCATCAGGATGGTTTGTGCCAAGCCATTTGCAAAGCCATAAAGGTAAGGAGCAGCAACGAGAGACACACACACACATCTGGACATTTTGCTGCCATAGAGCAAGGGCTGGCAGATGGCCACGTAGCGGTCGTAGGCCATCACCGTCAGCATGTAATAGTCTGTGATCCCCAGAGCTATGAAAAGGTGGAATTGGATAAAGCAGCCAACAAAGGAAATGGTTTTCCTCTTGGATAAGAAATTCACCAGCATTTGAGGGGTGACAGTAGTTGCGTAACAGAGATCTACAAAGGCGAGGTGGCTGAGGAAGAAGTACATTGGAGTGTGCAGTTTTGAGTCAGTTCTGATTAGGAAAATCATGGTCAGGTTCCCGATTATGGTGATAACATAGATGAGTAAGAAGACTGCGAACAGCACAGGCTGCAGGTCTGCTCGGTCTGTGAGTCCCAGCAGGACGAACTCGGTCACTGTTGAGTAGTTTTGCCTGGGCATTTTGTGTCTTTGGCTATGATTGAGCCCTTAAGTAAAGGAAAGAAAAGAAAAGAAAAGAAAAGAGAATAGAAAAGAATGTACATCATTTGTGTTATTTGTTCATTATTTCCTTGCATTCTATATTTTCAGTCTTCCTTCATATCCATAAACATAACTTAAATAATAGACAAACTAGCATGCAATGAATGTTTTAAATGTCATAACTAATATGGATCCCCTTGCTCATGTAACGGTAGTCACATTTTGCATCGACTGTCTGATGTGTCTTAGGAAACTCTTCTTATTTCAGTAGCTTTATGTTTTTGGAAGTTTTCATCATATTTTAAAATTTTCATTTTGCTTTACATATGAGTAGCCATTTCCTTTGCATATTGGTTTTATTTGAAATTGACATCATTTGTATTGCAATAGACCTCTGGCTGTAGTGTCTAAAGCCTCAGACGTGGGAATTCATCTGTTTTTCTCAGTTAAATGCATTTAAAGGACTGAAACCAAAGTGTGCTGCATATTTCTATATAGCTAAGATCTTCTTTGCAAATTCCTGAACCCCAAGTCATTTTTTGGCTATTAAATAAACCTGTCAGCTTATTTTCCTTGGTCTAGTTCATAGCAAGAGGCCCCCACACTATGAAATCTTGGTTCGCTTTTGAAAAAAAATCCCAAAATCTTTCATTTGTATTGTATACCATTATCCATGTGGAAAAGCAATAGTTTGGAGCTAGGAAAAGCCAGTCTGAGGTGGTTTCATGCATTACATATAACAAAACCTATATTACACATTTGTTTGTATATAATGTATCAACATCATACATGTAAACAAATATTGATAGTTTAAAATATTCCTGAGCTTGTGGTTTTCTTTCTTCAACCTTTTTTACTTATTTTGTACAGGGCCTCGCTATTCAGCTCAGACTTGTCGTGATCCCCCTTTTTCAGCCTCCCCAGGGCTTGTATTACAGGTTTGCTTCACCACACCCAGTTTCAGGGCTGGCATGTCATGCAGTCCTGGGGATCAAACCTGGGTCCTTTTGCTTGCCAGGCGGGTGCCTAGAGGGCTGAGCTATCTCCTTAGCCAGAGCTGATGGTTTTCAACTGAAAAGATTATGTATTTCAAGAGTCTAGTGGAAAGGCTGATGCATAATAAACGTTGTGGTCCAGGAATCCTTTGCCCATGTTCTTTCATTTCAATTGCATCTCAAGCAACACATTCCAAACATTTTCAAAAATGCCACAAATAAATTTCATACTGGAAACTTAAAACATACAACATAAATTCTTTAGGTTTGTGTAAAGTAACCACCATGTTCACGATGTAAGTGAGATAGTAATTAAGATATGAAATAGTTTCTCAATATTTAGGAAAAAACAACCATAAATATGGAGAACGTGGAAAGTTAATATTCTTATTTGACAAATACTTTTATGATGCTGAAATACTTACTGTTTTTGATTACTATAGCATAATATAATCCGATATAATATAACATAACATAATAATATAAAATGCTTTGTAATATTATCGGAATCCAGAATCCAGATCTGGTTAATTATTGAACGAAGCAGTGGCTAGGAGTTTGCATTTCCACTTCCTTGGCAGAATTCTCATCCTCTTCTCTTTCAGTTTGCAAAACCTAGATGAATTATTAACACTTTTGTGTCTCCTGTGTGTGCATTGTGGTTAACAATAGAAACTGCTTCCTTGCAAGGGAGCTAAACTAGGGATACTTTTCAAATATGTCTGGCATAGCATAAGCACTTAAATTTTTTCAGCTACTGGTATTATGCTGAAAGGTGCAGGTTTGGTTTATAACAAGGTCACTTGTCCAAACTCTACTTCTTTTGGGACAAAGATTGAGCATGGTCTATAGCCAGAGACACAGAGGCACCTGGGCAAGTGCTTCTCTGACTCGAAGCAGCCAATATTTATTGATGGACATAATGTTCACTTTGGTCTAATTCTTTTTCCATTATGGAAACTCCACCCCACTGTAAATTTATTTATGAGGAGCCTACTCAGAAAAGAGTAGCATTTTCAGAGAGATATTTGCTAATTCATTACATTAGGATTGAGCTCAATTTACTTTTATTGATTACATCTTTTTTTGCTGGTTTCTAAAATTTGAAGGTAGTATTGCTTATCCTACCTTAGAGAAGAGTAGAATTCAGGATGGCAACACCTACAGAGCAAGCAAGAAGGATTTATAACATATTTGTCTTACAGGGACCAACTCTCTATGGTTCAATTATTGTTGCAGAAATGTACTTACATGATAAGCTACCACTACCTCCCCATGCTTAAAATGCTAAACCCATGGAGGAAAGGAGTTTTGGTTGCTTCTTACTGCCTCCAGTGAATCAGACCTCCAAAGAATGGTGAAGCAATGGAACTCATTATTTTTAGGATGAATGTCTTCATGTTTTAAATGAGAAAAATATTAGTTTTTATTTTTTACAAATTTTAAGGTAACATAGTGATTCTGTAGTGAGAGAGGTTTGGAATCATAAAAGCACTGGAATATTGGGAGGCTGAAAACAGGAGGATCACTAGGAGTCCAATCTGTGTGGTGAGACCCTGTAGCCCCTGTACTAATACACTTTTAAAAAGCACTGGAAGATGAATGAGCTATGCTTGAAGATTGACTAGTCACATGATTCTTTTCAGACTCGTCCTGGTCATTTTATTAGAAATAGCACTTGGCAGCTACAATAATTAAGATGAGTTGAGGATTCTGTGTTGCTCTGCTCCTGATTTCCTTTCCTTAATATTTTTAAAGTTCTTGTCCACCTGCAGGTGTGGGCCACACCAGGGGAGGCTCTGTGTCCTCTTTTGTGCTCCCTCTGTCCTCTAATTTGCCTGAGTGTGCTGCTGTTTCCCAGCAAATCAAGGTCATCTCAAGGTTATACTGGCTCTCCTCTGCCTGGCTTTTCTAATTATGTTTGAGTGGCTCAATGCACACATTTCAATTATATTCTTCTTGAACAAATTTCTCCTTTTATAGTCCAGGATTCTAATTTTTTTCTCCTATTACCTATGTTCCTGTTGCTTGATATTTTGCCTATTCCTTTTCTCTGCTT